CTCCCCGCCGCGCCCGGCGGATACGCGGCCGGCCCCGGCGGCTATGCCGCGGCGCCCGCGGCCGCGGCGCCGCCGGCCGCCGCCGCAGCGCCGCCGCAGCCACAGGCGCCGTCGGGGCCGCCGCCGCACATCAACATGGCAAGCGCTGACGTGTCGAGGGTGCCGGCTGACCAGAAGGCCGTCCTGGCGTCCCTCAACGCCCTCTTCAACGCGTGCCTGCCGCTCGCCAACAACCCAGGTGCGGGCCGCTGCAGCCTCCGCAACCGTTCCTGCACTCAAACGGCTTGCGCGGCAGCTTCAAAGCGCCCCTCCCCTGCCATTCTTATGCATGGCGCCCACACAAACTCACGCCAGTGTGCATCCTTCAGTCTCACACACACACACACACACACACACACACACACACACACACACACACACACACACACACACATTTTGCACGAATCTTGCCACAACCCCCACTCACAGCCCGCAAGCGCGAGATGGACGACAACAGCAAGCGCCTGGGCGCCCTGTTCTGGCGGCTCAACGAGGGCCAGGTCAGCGCGCACGTCGTCGCGCGGCTGCAGCAGCTCTGCGCCGCGCTGGACGCCGGCAACTACCCCGCGGCCACCCAGATACAGGCGCGACGGGGGAAAGTGATTTTGGGGCGCGGGCTAGGGGTTTGTGGGGCTGCAGCAGCGGGCGGATGTGGGGCTCCCGTGGTGGTGGCGGCCCATGGTGTGTTGGGGTGCGGCGTGGCGGCTGTGGCTAGCCTGCTCCTGGTGATTGGGGCGACGCCGGCACGCTAGCGATGAAGCTGCGGCCCTGTGTTTGCTTGCACCCACCTCAGTGTGTCCATGACCGCATCAGCCTCCTGGCCCCTTCGTGCCCCTGCACTTTCAAATTTTCAAACGATCCTGCACAGGTGGAGCTGACCACCAGCGACTGGGACGAGTGCGGCACCTGGCTCACGGCCCTCAAGCGGCTCATCAAGGTCAGGCAGATGGCGGGCTAGGCGCGCGCCACTGCGCCGCGCCACCCTGGCGAATGCATGGGACTAGGCCGCCATCGCGGGCGCGCTGCCGGGCGGGCGGCCAGTGGAGCAGCTCGCGGGCCGGGCGCGGCTCCGCGAACTTTAGTTGCACGGGCGCGTTGCTGCTGTGCGCTTTTACTGACTGCTGAAGTGCATTTCAAACATAGCCTGCTGTGAGAGCTATGTAACTTGCTTTGGAAGTTCCTTGGTGCTGGCGCAGAAGTAAAGTAACTGTGAGAACAGCTCAAGGGCCCTGGCACCTTCCAAGGTTCAATGTGACAAAGCTGCAGCCAGCAGGCTGCCTGGCAGCTGAGGCGGTCGCTTGGATGTGCAGCAGCATGAAGTGAGAGTGAGCATGTCATCAGATTGCCAAGAGCTGGCATCTCTCCACCAACTGCCATCGCACCCTCGCGCGCCCAAACCTCGGAACCCGCCGATGATGATGTCATTGACACGCGTGCGCGCGCGTCTCTATTGCTTCGCTGGCTCTTTCTACTGCCAAAACATTGCAGGCATAAAAGCCATACACCCTGATTTTCAACAACTAACCCACCCTTAACTCTTTTTCATACATCAGCAAGAACAGCAATGCAGCAGGAGGAGGCCGAGGTGCCCTTGGCGCCCGCCCTGGCCAAGGCGTTCGGCCGGGCGCCGGACGGCGCGCAGATAGTGGAGGAGGAGGTGTTCAACCTGGTGTTATGCTGCGATGAGGCCATGCCAGCCGCCCTCCAAACCATCAAATCAAGGAGCAGCCTAGGGCCCCAGGCAGAGCGGCTGATGTCCCTCATCGACACCATGCGGCCTGACCCCAGGCCGGCCCCAGCCTACGAGGCGCTGAGCGCCGTGCCTGTCAGCACAGCGCTGCTCTTGCTGACGCTCCTCCACGAGCTGGCAGAAAGGAGGCAGGAGGACAGAATGCCAAGTAGGTGGCGCCGAGAACAGGTCGGAGCGCTGCGTGCGCGCCCTCGGGCACGGCGCGCGGCTGGGACGGCCTCGCAACTTACAAGGCAGTGGTTTCGACTGTCCCTCCAGCTGCTCCGGCTTCTCAAACCAAGCACCGCAGCCGCGCTGCTCATTGCAACTAGCGTGCATGGCCGCGACCTTCGCGCCTGTGCCGCAGCCATGCAGAAGTCCACCGCCACCCTCATCGTGGACAAGTGGACCAAGCACATGGCGGCCCTCGCAGGCTACGGGCAGGAGGAGGTGCTGCGCGCTCAGGTGGGCAGCCAAGACGTTGCTTCTTAACAGAAACGGGCTGGGCTATACAGCATGTATGAGGGAGGCGCATGGCTAGGGTGGCGGCAACGGAGTGGAATGAAAGGTGGCGGCGCGCGTCCGCATCTGGAGGCGCTCTAGAGCACATCTGCCTCTGCTGCCGACAAACGCCCCGCGCGACCCCGCCGCCTGGACTTCAGGCAGCGTTGAACGCTGCCTGCATCCCCAGCTTGCATTGTTGCCCCTGCCCTCACGCTCATGCAACCCGTCCGCCCTACCTCTCATGCAAATCCACTGAGCAGCGGCAGGAGGCGGCGATGTCGGACGCAGAGGCGGTGGCCTTCATGGTCAGCCAGCTGCAGCGCCTTGGGATGCAGGGGTTTGACGCGCGGCCTGCCTCAGTGCAGGAGGTCATCGAACTGCTGCGCAACTCCGTCGAGTGACAGCTGCACGGCAGCTGCCACATGCCAGCGGCAATGCGCGCCTGGTGGCGAGGCGGCGGCTTGCTGCCGCAGCTGTTTTTGCGGCGTGTGCTTGCTCTCCCGCCCTGCCTCGTCCCCGCCTCAGGGTTTGCATTTACTTGGGCATGGTGGGCTGCCTCGACATGCTGCGCAGCGGGACTAGGGGCTGCGGCATGCGACTTGATGCGTTGTGTAGCGTGGTAGGGAATATAGCTGGCCTACGATATGGCAGTGGGGCGAAGGGGGGCCGCTGTGCGATTCTGCTGTGCGAAAGCGCGTTGCTCTGCGTCGCTGCTGTCACCTTGACACCAACAGGCTTTTAAAATCTTTGACTGCAGCAAACCTAGATGGCATGCGATCATAGCTGAGTAATCTGCGTTGAACCTGCTCTCAAGGCCGCAGAAGCCAGGTGACTGCAAGAATGGTGTGCAACGGGCAGTGCCAGGTTGAGTGCCTGCTTCAAAGGCCGCTTGGCGCGCGGCTCTGGCAAGGGGCCCCTAGGCTGGGTGGTGGCAAGAGGCTGGGAATGCGCGAAATGGGTGCGCTCAAGGACCGCATTGGATATTGGAACACCACCACAGGCCTCCGCTACGAACTGCTGCCACCCTTGGACCAACCGCGCACGCGCGCCCAAACCTTGGACCACTCGCGACCGATGATGACATCACAGGCGTGCGCCGCGCTCGCACAGTCACCTCTCATGTCTTGCGTTGCGCCCGTGCCTCCCGCAATCCATTGCACTCTTTCAATCAATAATCTGGCTGTCGCGCATTTCAGGGATGCAGGAGGCACCTGTGGGGCTGCACGACGCAGTGCGCAAGGCGGCCGAGCCGTCGCCCGACGCAGAACAGCTGGCTGAAGAGGCCGTACTCACAGTCTCTTCCTGCCTGTCCGAGGCCGCGCCCGTCGCGTTTCGCATATCCCAGACACCCGAGCTGAACAAGGCGGCCGAAGCCGAGGAGCTGCTGGCGCGAGTGAGGCACCTCCTGCCCGACCCCACACCCGACGCCGCCTACGAGGCGCTCAGCGACGCGCCGGTCGACGAGGTGCTGCCGACGCTGACACTCGTCAACAGCCTTGCCGAGGAGATTGAGGAGGGCGAGCTCGCGCAAAGTGGGTGGGGTCCAAACAGGCAGGGTCGGGCTGGATGGGTTTGGCTAGATGCTATGAGTGGGAAGCCTGCAAAGACGCATGCAGACAGGCCGCCAGAATTGGTGTGGCTGGCCAGTCGCTTGCTTGCAGCCCGCGCCTTGCTGGTGCCCTGATCAGACACCCGTCACGACCTCCACATCCGATGCTTTGTTATCGCGCCCACCTCACAGCCTTCGAGACGGCCGCTGCTGCCATGATCGTGACTTACTGGGCGGGGCCGCTTGTGGCGGTGGCGTCTTATGGGCAGGAGGCAGTGCGGCGCGCCTGGGTGAGCCCACAGCATGTGTAGTGGAGCAAAACGGTGGGGTTGCTGGGAATGCACAGGAACGGCTCACACGCCAGCAATGGAATTGCGAGGAATTGCGGGAGGCACTAAGCCTCATATGAGGTAGTCTCTTAGACAGCGCGGGGCTTGTTTTCATATACGCTTGCTCACAGACCACGATCACCTCGCCTTGTCGCCACCACCATTTCCATCGTTCTGACCCGCAGCTTCCACCCTTTCTAAACCGCCCGCGCCGCGCCCACCTTGCCTCAAACAGGGGCATCAGGCGGCTATGTCGGACGCGGAGGCAATCGACTTCATGTTGAGCGAGCTGGCGCGCCTGAGGATGAGGGCTTTCGAGCAGCGGCCTCCCTCAGTGATGGCGGCAGTCCAGCAGCTGCGCGAGTCTGTGAGGGGCGCGCTGTAGAGGGGCTCGTCAGGGCTGCAGCCTGCCGTGCTGATGCGTTGGGCACACTGCGGCTGGCTCGACGGCTGCTGCAGCAGCAGGCGAGGGCGGGGCGCCCCTGGCCCCACTTCTTCCGGCTGCGACACTCACCACGCAGAGCCTCTTGCAATTTGTTCCATGCTTGAGGTGTCCTACTGCGTTGATGCTGACTGGCTTGATTTGTTCGATGTGAGCAGCAGAGAGATTGTTGCTGTGAAGCAGGGCACGTCATGCACGCAGTGTCCAACACCCCAAGTTCTTTCTTGGGGTTGCTTGGATTTTACCACATGGTGCACACAGAGCAGCACGCTTTGTTTGTGGAGTCTATCATCCCTCTCAGCCAGCCGTGTATGCTTGTGCCAGCCTCACGCCTCTCGTCCCTGCACAGGCAGTGCTGCATTGCAGTGTGGTTTGCTGAGTCATTTGGCAAGTGTAAGTCCACTCAATCACAGTGAACTCATCCAAGTGCAAACCCCAAAACTTCAACGCCCTCTGCTTGCCAGTCTGCAATTCTGGGCGCAACATAGTGTTGTGCGTGCATTCGGTCAAAGAGGTACCAGCCCGCAATCGTACCAAGTACAGCGTAATCCTGCCGCCAAACTTGCATGTTCCTTTACACAGCCTGCTCCCTTCACACGCCCAGCCTCCATTTTTCCACAAAGTTGAATGCGTTGTCGACTGCTGGCAGCTCCCCGCCGCGCGTTAGTACCCAGGCAAAGCAGTCTCGAGCTGTGGGGGCAACGCGGTCACGCAGCTCTTCATGCAACTCCTGCACTGCTGACCCCAGCACGACCGCATCCCTTGCCGTGCCTGGAATCTTCCGCTGCGCTATCCTGGAGCACCCAGTCTGAAGCTCCTCCAACGCCGCCATCGCCAGTTGCATACCGCGCGCAATACGCTGGTCGCCGCTGCAGCTGCCGTCCCTGCCTTTCATGTCGGCTCTCCCGTTGCTCTTTTCGTCTGATGGTGCTGCTGCTGCTGCCACAATCATGTTGCTTGTGCTGCTGGCATTGCTATTTGTAGTGGCTATTGCAACGCCGTAGCCTCCGCCCGAAGCTGCCGCAACACAACCACCGCCTGCATTGCCGCTGCTGCATGAGGGCTCAACCGCCTGGCCTCTGACGCTGGCTGTCACTGCCGACGCCATGCCGCCCCACATGCCAGACGCCGCCGCCTCCCGCAGGCCGCGGCGCACAAACGGCGTCGCCAGGAGCTCCTGGGCGCTCGGGCGCCGCTGCGGGTCCCGGCGCATGCAGCCCGCAATGAACGCCTCCAGATCTTCCGCAAGCGGCTCGCCGTTGAGGTTCAGCACCAGATCCCGCATGAGCTGGGCGTCCGGCGCGTCGGCGCCGACCGGCAGCACCAGGCACGGGGGCGGCGTGCCGCGCACGGTGCCTAGTCCGAGCGCGAGCGCCGTGCAGCCAAGCGCATAGATATCCTCCTGCCAGCTGAGGCTGCCGCTGAAACGCGCCGTGACGGGCAGCGCGGCGCGCTCAGGGGACATGAAAGTGGCCTGGGCTGGCCCCATCATGCTGCCCTGCCAGAAGGGCGCCGCAAAGCCATCGTGGTCGGCGGCCTGCAGCCGCACCTGCGCGCGCACATACCGAAGGTTATTGATTTGGAAGCGGCTCATGACACGCTGCGCAAGGAACAGGCACCGCTCTCAGCAATCAGCGCTTTAGTTGATGTTCCCGGCGAAAACAGTGACATGCTCATGCCGCGCGTGTACCTTGCTGTCTTCGTCCCTGACCACCAGCCAGTTATCTCCTGCAGGCAGCAGCATCAGCGGACTGAGCACACCAAGGCGCTTTGCTCGCGGCCAAATCAGGCGTCTGGGGACCTAGGGTTGCACACTGGCACATAAGCTAAAAAATGTACGCGTGTGTCCCCCGCCAAACACTCACGTCCACAAGCACACACACACACACACACACACACACACACACACACACACACACACACACACACACACACACACACACACA